ACATATATATAATCTAATAATATAATGATATTAATAAGTATAATAAATTATTAACCTTAATTAATTAACCTTAACATCTTTATAACCTAAGTTTGTAAACTCCTATTATATATAATCTTAATTCTAACTCATTATTCTTAAAACCTTAGTATTTTTAAACTTTTTTTGTTTTTATTTTTATTAATCTAGGAATTGAAAAGTATTTATTAAATGGATGGATTGGATATGTTTGAAATGGTAGACAAATAACTAATTTAATATTTTTATATAGATTAGTAATTATATTTAAAAGTGGCTCAAGTTTGAAAGATCCTAGACCGATTAAAACGGATCAAATCGAACCATTTCAATCAGTTCGGTTTGGTACGGTTTAATGGGAGAAATGGTCTGTATTAGTGTTCAAAATAATAAAACCGACATTATCGGTTCGGTATAATTTTTTACCTCAATACCAACCGTACCAAACCAATTGCATCCCTAGACACAACTAAACTCTTGTTAGGTGGGACTAGGTCTAGTTAAAGGTATTTGGGTTGATAGTAATCGATTAGTACCACAAAACTAGGATGGCTTTGGACCTGCAGTGCACATGCATATCCTTGAGATTGAAAAAATATAGGCGTGACATAGGTAGCTCATGGTTGAGTTCAATACATAACTTGAAAATCATTGAAAATGGAATTGGATAATGACTAGTGTCCAGTTGGGAATTACAGCGTCGCACTCCTCTGTTTTGTGAAAATGGAACTAAGTAAACAATAAATGCATGAGGTAATTCAAATTGGTTTTGTGAAAGTGTTTTGCATTGAGAAAATCATCTTCATTTATATATTGTATGACATTATGATCACATAGGTTATGATTGCATATTGAACATGCTAATTGCACGCTATTATTGGGCTATATGCTCAAGTTGTTGATATTTTTAGGCGGGTGGGAATCCGAAGCCACAAGGTGGCTCAAAACCCTTTTCTTACATGTGATGGCCGTAGAGCCAATTGTCTTGTTATAAGGTCATGGATCTCCTTTTGGGATGTAAGGTGGTAGTGTCATTTGTTGATTGAGAGCAAAAGATCTCGTTGTTGTTAACCCAAAATATTTATTCTGATCAACAATGATTGAGAGCCCTTTTTTTTGAAAGCCTCCACAACCTCCTTAGATCTCCACCATTGATGGTATGGACCCCACACATACATAAGTAGATCTTACATATACATGAGATCCAAAGAGAGTTGTGGAAATCTTCAAAAAATGAGAATCTCAAGCATTTTTCTTATTCTGATTATGTACAATGATTTTTGAGGAATAGTTTGACAAGTACAATGAATTTTTTTAATTTTCCTTCCAAAAAAAAGTATTCGGTGTCTTGTTCAACAATTTTCACCTAATTTTAAACAAAAGGTGATAGACAGAAATCACATTGATCCAAATTAAAACAATTTAGATGTAAAATTAATATAATTAAAAAACTAGTCTTTGATTTTTGAGGTTTGAGAGGTAAAATATTGAAACACAATTTCCAACCAAAATTTTTAACTTGAGGCATTGCTCTTTGGGTAAAATTTACATAATCAATAGGTAGATGAAGTGGGAAAACCAGCATTCAAGTTCTAAAATCTGCCTAATTGTAGCTTTATAAACTAAATTCAAATGCTAAAATCTGCCGAGCATTAAATAACATTAATAAATAAATAGTCTCAAAAACTTTGATTTGAATTCTGCAAAATGTAAGTAGTTTCAATTTCAACTGCATAAGCAATGTACATTGTAAGAATTGCAGATTTAACAATAGCAACATTGCTCATATTCATCGGTGCCCACATTTTTGTATTCAGAAATTTACCAATATCAAAAGCCAGCATTCCCATCACTAAATAAACATACTACATAAAATACAGAAATCTACGCTTTGAAATCACAATTGCAGACAGCAATAGATAAGCTGATTTTGTTTTACATCAAAATATCTGGTTTACTGCGATTCTCTCTTGAGATCAAAACAAAATCAACTAAAACACAATGTGATCCGAGTGTCATCCGCTAAACTAAAAATTGCCTGACACAAAGCCCATGTTGCTTGGCTATAACACATCCTCGTGATAGAGATGAAGTCCCAGACCAAAACGAGCACAAGCTCGACGAAATGCCATTGCTTCTGCCTTCTGCACTGGATCTCCATAGCCTGCATCATTTACAGGAGTAGTACCTATTGACTCCTTGTATATCTTATCAAAAACACAAACAAAAGTGAAGAGCAACCGAGGTCAGTTCCCTCACACATATATTTTTCTATTGAGATTCATAAAAATTAAAAAAAGAAAAAAAAAGAAAAGAAAAGAAACAGGAAGGAGTGAGAGAGAAAGAATGGGCACATACTAAAAAAAAATAGTAATAATGTTGAACTATCTTATACATGCAAAAGAAATAAATAAATTTATATTGACACGTTATATAATATAGTTTTTATATAAAGACGTGGTTACAATATCTAAAAGCCACCAACCATAAATTATTTAAAACCCATTACATTCTTTCCTGACATTCCAAAAATGGACATAACAACCCTAAATAGAGTAATGTAATAAATAAATAAATAAACGAAAATCTGTCAGACAGTTCCTAGAACACATGCATTTTACACAAATCTGTCAGACAGTTCGTAGAGCAGGTGCATTTTACATAAAGATGCATTTCAGTTCCTTGAGCCCTTGACCTAAGATGAGTTTATTAACTGATTATATATGCCCCTTCGTGTTTCTCTCCTCTCATTCCTTCTGTCCACTGAGAAGAGACAAACTTTGAATAAAGGATAGACGGATGATGTAGAAATCATTAGCCAATAAAGGAGCTCTTGCATAGAAAGTCATGTTTGTTAGAAATTTTAATTTTTAGGAGTTTCTACTCTGGTTAGAATTTCCCTTACAAAAATTTTAAGTTAAGCTAGTAGTCCTTTCCAGGGCTACTATCTAGCCTGTTATTAGTTTATAAAATTTCTATTGCTGGAACTTTATATGGTTGCTTTATTAGATGGAACAATTTTGAGAAAGTTTATCTTTGCGATCGTCTAGTATTCTACATATCAGGCTCCTTTCTATAAAGGATATTAGAGTAGAGTGAAGAGTTTCTCTTGATTAAAAATGAGTGTTGAACTCTTGTACTGATTCGAGCGTGGATCCCAATCGATCCCTCAAGAGATAAGGTACTTTCCCTTTATTAATCTTATTTGCTGACATTCTATTATTGCAAATCTAATTTTAGTTTCTTTAATTTAACTATCTAGTCTGGAGGACCAACGCCTGGTAACCATTATGTTTCAAACCTTAACTCCGAACCCTTGTTTAAATCTTCAAAGCCACACTTTTCCTTGTGGTACAGCCACAGAATCAAAGAACTATATGTTGGGATAATTCGGTTTAAGGAACTACAAATTATAGTTAAAACGACTTGTATGAAAGGGAAAGAAAATCCATCAGTAATGACCCTTGGTTGATATTTCAACAACATTACCATCAACTTTAATAGATACCTGTTTTCTTCTTTTAAACAAAGAAATAAAATCCACTTCTGCCAATACCTTTTCCTCATTCAATGCAGATAGCGCCAACAGGAAGAATCTCAGAAAGTAAAAAGCAAAAGAGATCAAAGAAACTAATACATTAGAAATCATGCCAAATAATAGTACCCTTCAGCAACTTCCATTGATTTTAGGCTTACATAATAGGTCTCCAAGCCAACCACTGAAATTGGTTGCCCCAGCCACAGGAAAGCCAGAACTTTAGGACAGGACCTTGTCAATTGTTACAACCTACTCTAGCCTATATCTAAGGGGAAAAAGAAAGGGGATCACTCCTGACACTCCACACGGGGCTCAAACTCACAACCTCCAAGAGATGCAACATCTAATGCATTAATAGACGCACTATCAATTAACCAAAGTTACAAAACTATAGAAGAAAGCAATGCACATTTATTATTAAAAAATCAAGTCAATTTAATAAAGTGTCATCAAGCCTGAATCTTGCATGCTCTACACAAGCTTTAAGCATGCAGAATAATTTGGTTTTGACTGTCAGGGTCGCTCCTGCCTCAAGAAAAATTAAGCTCAATATGTAACTTGATAAGTTAAAAAAAATTCCCAGCAGTCACCAGTGAGATAGCAAAGTTAACTACATATATTAGAAGGTACTATAGACTTCCATATGATGCTTGGCATTAGCAAGGTAATGACTTGAAGCAATGACAAAATGGCCCATTTAACTCAGCAACAGAAAACATTTTCAATAATTCACACTAAACCAATTTGAAAACATTAAGCTTGTCAATCTTCACTAACTAGAACAATACCAATCAATGTCCAGAAGCAGACTAGGTATGAGTACGTCACTACTACCAATCTAAGATGCATGCATATTGTGATACAAATGAACAAATTATGAAGCATAAAGCAGCAATGGTACCTCAGCATCAGTCCCATACAGTGTGACACGGTAAACAACAGACACAGACTTGCCATCAGCCGAATACGTTATGCTTCGAACCTCACCAGACCATTCTACAATAGATTGAGAATTTGAAAAGTTTTCAGCATTCACAGATCTCAGTGCCCCTTGCAATTGGAATTAAAATCACTTGGTGAAAGAAAATAGTGAACTTTAACGTACCTGGAGGATGTAAGTTCATAATCCGATTCACGATATGCCTAGCAAGAATGATAAGACAACTAGAAATGTCAGATAACCTTCCTTTCCAAGTACTAAACATTAGATCTTAACTCTGATTGGTACATTATAAATTGGATTAGTGTGCTCCTTACGTAACAAATAAAATGTAACGTTGAATAGGACAAGAAAAAGTTCATAAGATAAAAAAATAAAAAAAATAAAAGAAACTTATACTTTAGATTATTTTAGCCCTTTCAAGATTGATAACAAGAAGTTTCAGCACCATTCCTAAGTAAAAGAAATTAAAAAAAAAAAATTAAGTATCATATTATAAAAAGAGGCACCAACAGGGTGCAACCCATGTACAAAAGAAAACCACTATCATCTATACATCAAAAACCTATTCAAAGGTGTCCATAAATCCAAAAATTGGTTCAAGGATGGGCTAAAAAGCATGGACATGAGACATAGTGATTTTCAGGAAAAAAGGATATGGACATGGCAGGGATATGACAACAAATATAAATAAACACATTTTTATCCATGAATAACCAAAAATAATGAAAAACTACCTTAATTCAACATGAAAAAAACCATTCAATCTATAATTTAAAATATGTTACATGGACTCGGGTACATGTATCGGGTGTGGGTGTGTATCCAAACATCAGACTTTCATAAATTTAAATCTTAGGATCTTGGGATACGTATCCAAAATTATATAGGAGTGCGGGGACCCATCATATACACATACATATTGCATATTATATAATATCCTTAGAAAAAATATTGTAAATTATATAAAAATATACTTGAACTTGAAAAGGATTCAAAAAAAATATCAAATTTCTATATCTAATTCATGTGAGAGGCTAAAAATATTGCTTTACTAGCAAATGCGAGTTTCTTCTTCTTATATATTGTAACAAATTAAAGGATCTGAGTGTCTAAATTGAGTACGAGTGTCAGACACATACCTCATACCCTTACCCACGTCATATCCGGTGGACATAGGTATTGTGGGGGATATAGAAGAGTTCATATAACACATACACAATACAAGCAGAAACCATTACATCACAAATGTCAAAAGAATTAAAGTTCAATAATGAATAAATCATGCATCAAAAGTACATAAACCCCCACTATTTTGTTTAAGAATTAATATGGTGTTAACATTTACCAAAAGAACTAGAAATTCCACAGAACTAATGTGAATGCAAGCATATAATAGGAACATTGGAAAGATGAGAGAGGCAACGTCGACACATTTTGAAATGATAAAATGTTAGTGTTGGCTGTGTTTCTAAACTTCTATCTACAAATAGCCACCGTTTAGTTTTTAGATTCAACAGTGCTCCGATTTGGAAATCCAAATCATTCATTACTCACTTAGAACAAGTGAAACCTTTGATTAATAAAGAACATAAATTAAAAGGAAATAAGAGACTTAAACATGAACACAACGCATTCATTAAAATTTTAAGGCTTTGATGCCTCAAATTACATGAAACGGTATAAAAAGAGAGGGCTTGGAACCCTTTACCTATAACACGCCATGTCTATAAACACAGAAGAATATTTGCAAATTCTTACACTCCATTTGGATTGAGGGATTTGGTAAGAAAAGAAAAGAAATTGAGAGAATGAAATTTCACATCTCTTGTCTGGATGATTAATAGTGGTAATGGCGAGAAATGAAGAGAAATGGGGTGAGAAAGACAAATCACTCCAAACTTAAGTTTTGTTTTTCACCCAAAGTGGTGAGAACCAAAGCAAATAAAATAAAAAATTTATAATACCTAAACTACCCCTCTAAATACAAAGCAAATAAAATAAAAAGACACATGCATCCTCTTTTAATTAGCATATCCATCCAAACAGAAGGTGAGAAACCAATAATCGCTTCCTTTCTTTTCTCATCTCCCAATCCAAACAGAGTGTTAGAGATAATAGGAAAGCCCTACTCATCTGATCGGTTTGGTCTTTTGCAATTTCATTTATCTCATTTAGCATCACCACCGTAGGCCCTTCATGTGTCATCTCTTGATTGGGCATTTGGCTTCTTATTATCTGCTGACCCCACATGGCATTTGATCTTTATCAAGACAACTTCTTGGATAGAACTTAGAAGCATGAATCCAGTGTAGCATCTTATTCATCTGCTCCGTAGATGCTACTTCTTGATTGGCTTTGAGTTTTGCAAACACATGGGACTTAGATATTTCCCTGTAAGTTTGTATTCCCACCGTAGGCTCTACACGTATCATTATCCCAATCAATCCCCAAATCTTTGGTTTAGTTGAAATTTACATGCCAAAAAATGCCCCCTCTCATGATTCATATAAGTAGGTTTTTACTATGTGAATCATGACAACTTTAAACTTCTTTTTTTTTTTAAACATTTTTCTTTTATGTGTGGGCTTTCTTTCCATAGGTGACCCTCATTTTCCTGTGGGCTACTCTTAACTTGGATCATGGGCTTTTCCTTTTTGTTTTGTGCATGGATGCCTTTTTTATGGGTCTATTACAGTCTGAGGGAAAGTTAATTTTCATAGGCTAACCTCATCATCATCAATTTTTTTTTTGGTTGAAGAGTTTCAACTAAACTCTTTCTTGGTGCTTTTTGAAGAGTTTCAATATATGACCCAACTATTTGTGCAGTCCACCTCTTGGAAGCCAACAGTAACCAGCATCCACCTTTTAGTTTTTTAGGTATGGATTTGTATCCTTTGTCTTCTTGTTTCATCCTTTCTTATTCAACATTGAGACCCTTATTTTTTTTTTTGGGGGGGTCCAGATTCTTTTGATTGACTTTCTTGGTCAAGAGAGAAGCAAGAGCTCTGTTCTTCTGTTTTAGGCTGTCACGTACATTTACGTGGGTTATCAATCAAGTATTGAAACCCTTTATCTGAAGGTGTGTAGCTGTTTACTTCGACAATATTCTGGTTTTCAGTTCTTCATTAAAAAGACACCCTATTGCTTTCCACAGGAAGGCTCAAGACTTCGATTTTCAACCTATGACAAAGAACTTTTTGCTATCATCTGAATATTACAGCATTGGATTATTAGTACAAAGGGAGTGGGAGTACATTCTTACCTCTGATCAATGATCATGAAGCTCTCAAGCACATAAACAGTCAGCAAAAGTTGAATAAGGGGCATGCTAAGTGAGTGAGCTATTTACAATGTTTCACTTTCACATTAAAGCATGAAGTCAATACTCAAAAAAAGGAGGTCCATGATTTAAGCACAAATGTTTCACTTGTAACAGTAATGAGGGCAGAAATTCTAGAGTTTGGCACCTTCAAAGAATTGTACATGAATGATGAATATTTTGGTCCTATCATGCAAGCTGCGGTGGCTGGTGAGTGTAATGATTAATCCATCAAAGAAAGTGTTCTTTTCAAAGGGTCACAGCTCTGTGCTCGTGACTACTCTTCAAGGGAGACGATTGTCATTGAACAGCATGCTTTGGGATATTCTGGTTGTGATAAAAGCATTGCATTGTTGAAAGAAAGTTATTACTAGCCAAGGTTGAAGCACAATGTACCTAGGCATGTTCAGATACACCATATTTGCCAACATTCAAAGAGAGGAACAACCAATGCAGGGTGGGTTTATATGCTCCTCTCCCGACTCCATCCAAACTGCATGGAGTGATGTAAGTATGAATTTCGTTCTTGGTCTTCCACACAGTCAAAGGTGTTAAGATTCAAAATTCTATGAAGTATGGATACCTCTCCAGTGGTCACGTACTGGTGTTCAACACGTGCCAGACATGGACACGAAATGTCCCATTTTTTTTTTTTTTCAGTTGGACATATTCGGGACACATGATGTCCCAATTTTTTTTTTTCCACCCAAGTAGCATTTGATGAACTTGATGAGATTAAATAGAGATAATTGTTGAAAAGTCCAAGCTAAGAAGGGTATAAGTAACTAGGTTCAGTGGATATTTTTTGTTAGCGAGAGGTCCACCTTTTGTGAAATAGTTTGGTGAAAAGTACTTTTGTTTGTTTTGAAGGACATTTTGTTTCCAATTTTACCCTTTAACTTATTTTTTGACTTTTTTTATCTATCAACTTTCGTTGACTATCTGTTCAAATTTTTTCCCTATCTGTTTAATTTTTTTTTATCTTATCTGTTTAATTTTATGATCTTTTCAATTCAAATTTTATTCCTATCTATTTCAATTTTTTTCCCTGAATTTTATATGTTCAAATTTTATCTGTTCAATTTTTTGTATTTTTATTTTTTTCTATCTGTTGAAATATCAAGCTAAACCAAATCCTATCTGTTCAAAAATTTATATCTGTTCAAATTTTTCTTCTCTCTCTCTCTCTCTCTCTCTCATATTTGTTCAAAAACATCATCAACAACAAAAAATCTTATTTGTTCATCAACAATAACATCATCACCGAATCCTATCTGTTCATCATCATCATCATCATCATCATCTACAACAATATCACAAAAATTTTAAAAAGAAAACAAAAACAAATTTGTTGGTATCTCTTTCGCTTCCAAAGTAATCGTCTTCCTTGTCAAAGTCTTCCAAAGTATCTCCTTTCATTGAGACCTATGTCAAATATATATATACTATACCAGCAAACTTAAAGGGCAAAAATATTAAACAAAAAACAACACAAGGCTTTCAAATATGTAAATAAATAATCACTTACAAACACATTCAGTGAGATTCATGATCCAAAAAACACATTTTGTTCAACTTTCTTCAGCTAATTCACTAATCATCTCCAATCATTTCATCAAAATTGTAGCAAATCAAGGGAAAGGAAAATTTTCCAACAAGTTAACGATGAAACAAATCCAAACCAAACGTCAAACTCAAATTTGAAGAATTTTTAAGAAGAGTAAAAATTTGAGATGGTTTTCTTTAATCAAAAATGGTTTTAGAAAAAGATTTTTAGGATTAAACCGAAACAGACAAAGATATCAATGTAAGGATTTGCTTCAAATGTAGAGATAATAATAGTGTTTAGATCAAACCTTTTAAAAAAAAAAAACAAGTAAATAAATGTAATCGCATGAAACAAGAAAGTGATAAAGAAGAATAAAAAGTAAATAATAGTGTTTCAGTTCTAGAGTTTGGAACAGAGAGAGA